CTTGCCCATCATGCCCTTGCCCTGGGCGGCTTCGGGTATTTAGGGTTTATGGTTTCGGGGGAGGGCTTAGGTTTTAGGGTTTAGGGTTCAGGGTTTAGGTTTTAGGGTTCAGGGTTTAGGGTTTAGGGTTGAGGGTTGAGGGTTTAGGGTTCCGGGGAGGGCTTTAGGGTTTAAGGCTTGCTCTGTTTCAGGGCGCTGGGCTTCAGGTTTTCACGGAAGGACCTAGGGTTCAGGTTTATGCTTCTGTCCCATGAAGGGCTTCTGGGAACATAAGAAATAGTGTCGTCAGAAACCATAAGAAACAGTGTCGTCTCTTGGCTGCTTGTTGGTTGCCATCTTTACATAGGACGTGGTTTTTAACTAAGCCACGTAAACCCTCAAGGGCACTGAGGCCCAACAAGGCCTCACTGGAAGCTGGCACACCAGTATCAATTAATGTAGGGCCCTTGATAAATAGAATATGGTTTTGGAGTATTTTATGCCATAAACTCTAATAAGGAACCCCCAAAACAGTATAGGTAATTATTAAGGCCCCTATATCAGCCAAGAAGCCTAGGACAGCGGCCAACTATCACAACCCTTCCCTTGTCTCTGTTCCAGTTTTACGGTCTCCGCTGCACCATGTTTGGGTGGGAATGTGGCGCACACGTCTTCACCATGATACGACTGCAAAAACAATGGTTTAGGGTTTACACCAAATGTCAAGAAAGCATATAATATATCTATATATATATATATATATCACAGGGATGAGCTCGTCTGAAGCACAGCGAAGTGGCTGCAAAAGCAGTTGGAACAGCTAGTCCACCTAGCTGACTTAGCTGTCCCGATGCCGAAGTTACATGTGCCAAATCCCCGCAATACCAGCCGTAGGACCCCTGCAAGTCTCGATGACATAGAAGCACGTGAAGCAAAGCTACATGGAACGCATGCGACATCAAAGCTAAAGCGCTGCAATCCGATCATTCCCGACCCTAACCCTAAAACCACAACCCTCCGCCGGGCCTTACCCTTGCCTTTGCCCATGCCCGGCATGCCCCCCTGAGGCTTTTCGCTCTGGGGGTTCTTGACGGTCCTTGGGATGTCAGCGGCCCAGGTCTCGAAGCGTGACGGGCTAATTTGAGGGTTTAGGAGTCTTAGATTTAGGGTTGAGGGTTTAGGGCGTTTAGGGTTTAAGATTTAGGGTTGAGAATCTTGCGGTCAGACAGGGGCACCTGAAACGGAGGCAGGCGACGGCTGCAAAGAATTTCTGGGCAAGTTCATGGCTACAGGGTGCTGAGCTTTGCGGTTTTGGGTGTTGCAAAGGTTCTGGGTCCAGGGGTGTTAGCTTGGCCTTAAGTCTTCAGTATAGAGCTTTAGACTACTTCAGAGAAAGGATTCATCAAGACTCGACTCGCACTTGGCCAGGAGCCTAATCCCACCCACTTCCAGCCCTTTGAGCCTCCAGAGTGATACCAGTTGTGCCCGTTTTTCAGTTTAGGCGTACAGTTATAGGGACTGTGCAGGGATGGCGTTACTTATTCCGTCCCATTATTCCAGTTAAACCACACGCATCTCACCCTGAACTCCGCGATTAAAAGAGACCCTCCACGGACCTGAAGCCTAAGACTTAAGCCCAGCAGCTCGTCAATGGAGAGGATGAGGCAAGCAGCCTCAAGACATGCTTCAGGGGTTCAGGGGTTATGTATTTAGGCAGTATTTGGGGTTTAAGGTTTCAGAACAAGAATCCCCGGCGTGTTGCTTGCACAGAAAGGTTGCTGTTAGTCTGTCTTGCCAATGCCTGTCTTGTTCAATAACCGGGCGGATAGAGATGCAACGTGCCATGTGAAGTGGTCTCATAGAAGTGCCTCAAGAAGTAGACTAAGAGATTTGTCTGCGGTATTATATGTATATATACACATGTGTAACCATGCAGAATAAGGAATCTTGAATCTTGAAGAAGAGTATTGGTAATCTCAGGGTGTAAGGTCTTGCGCGTAGAGCTTCCAACAGCTCGCATTTGGATTTAGCACTTCCTGGATTGTAAGCCTCGGGCCCTAGAAATTTAAGCATGAACAGATAGCTTAGATGACCATAAAGGGGCAAGGGGACCATGTTGCGCATGTCTACTTCATTAAGGTTGATAGATTGCTGTATCGGATTGTGGCATGCTCGACGTACGGTCAACATTATGCTCGGCCGGGAAACTGTAGTGCCTCGTAGCCGAACCTTCTGTTAATGAAAACTATTTGGATTTCCCTGAAAATATAGGAAACTATAGGAATGGAGGTCGTTAGCGCATTTCTGATTATGGCTAGAGCAGGATGCTTTTCCATGGACAACCCGGGAGCGGAGGTAGGTATACAGTGTCGGCCAAAAGGGCACATACAACCCTCGGTTTGTCCAGCTCAGGGTTCAGACTGTTTCAGGTGGCCGGTACAGAGCATCGTTCTCATTAGCTTCCTGTGCAGAACCGGGGAGTACGAACTAACCTGAATGAGGCGCTTTAAAGGCTTTGCAACGCGCTGCAAGCCATGACCAGGACCCCAAACCCTGAAGCCCAACTCAGGCCACACAAGAACCAACAAAAAACCCGTTAGAATCTTAGAAACACCATGACAGTCTGGATCCCAAGTACGAACTAAACCTTACTCCCGAACTCCGTAGGGCCTCCGTCGCTGCATTGATGGCGCTCTCCTTCACAAGCACCGGCTCCTGGGCTGCGTCAAGCTTTGAAACGACTTCGTGTTTTAGGGTTTAGGGTTTAGCCTACGCAGAGCCATCACCGGGCTTCTTCAAAGAGCCGAAACGGGCTTCGAGAGGCAGGTGTGCGAAGGGACAAAAACCTGGATTTCATAATCAAGCTAAACATATTATAGGGGAAAAAATAGTCTTTCCCCTACAATATGTTTAGTATTGAGTCCAAATGCTTCCGCTTCCGGGGCATTGTCCGTTGAATGCCGAGGGTCCAGCTGAAGGTTTAGGCTCTTTTGCGGTGTCGGCCTTCACGTCCACCATTTGCAGCGGAGTGCTGAGTTATGTTTAGAGTTCCAGGGTCTATAGGGTTTATGTACGGGTTACGGCTTTGATGCTGTGGTATCACGTTCACTTTATGTACCTCAGCCCTCGATCGCTGTAGCCAAGGCACCCAGATGTAGCTGACGAAGGAATCGCAAACCTCACCGACTGATAGTCCCATTTAGAATGCATTCACATCACAGCGCACGAAGCCCTTGTATCCGCTGCATCACTGACCCTCTCGTCGCTGAAGGCATATGGAGAACAGAACAGACCCTAAAACTCGTCATGACGAGTAATAGGGCCTTTGCCGTAGCTGAAGGCTGATCGGATTCGACAGTTTTTTGTTAACGGTGCAGCCTAGTTGCTGTGCAGTTGATGCAGTCGACGCCGAACCACCTCGGGCGTCGCCCTCTTGGGCTTCTGGGGGGGGGGGGGGGTCTGAAATCTGCTGGGTACGTCTAAGGGCCCCCTTGACAAGAAGGACCAGAAGAAGGATGCTGGTGCTTAGGTTGAAGTCTTACTGTGAGGGTTTACAGAAAAACGCGCCGAACCATCCTGAACCCTAAAAGCCGGAACTTGTCTACTAATAGGGGCCTTAATGGTTAGACTAGGTTTTCGGGGTATAGGAAACCATAATTGTAGTCAGGGAAATAGTGTTGGCAACTCTTCAGGCCCCTATAATGAAGCAGCCGAGCCCCCTACCAAACGTCATCTCACGAACGAGCCAGCTATGCGGGCCTTGCTTTAAGGACCGTTATAAGGAAGGGACCCCCGAATTCGAAGAAAACCTTGAACCCTCAGCCCTAGCTCCAGAAAAACTTAGACCCCCAAGTCTAAATCCTAGGACCCTCGACCCTTAACCCCCCAAAAAAGACATAATTCTATCACCTGAGACCCCGAAACCCTAAACCCT